GAGACAACATGAACTCAACTTTCAGCATGTCTGTTTTTTTGTTTTTTTTTTTTTCTACTTGAATGCATTTAGTGGTCCATAAGAATAAAGACGAGCTTCAAGTTTTCCTACAGCTTCCTGAACTCCTGTGAACAATTGCCACGGCCCAGGTGACTGCTACCTCATTTATAAAGCAACGTTATTAAGCAAAATAAGGCTACAGTGTTTCAGATGGGCACACCTGGGTCTGCAGAGACCTGCAGACTGTGCAAACACTCCACAGAAAGAGCTCACCAGAAGATTAGATTCTCTGACCAGTATTTCAGACAGGTCAGTCAAAATTATTTAGCCTCAGAGTGGTACTTCTAAATTTTGCTCCTTTTTTACAGTTTATGGCAGGAATCACATTCATTTTATGCTCTACAGAATCCTAGAAATCCATGTCTGGAGCCTCTTTTTACCACTTCAAGAGGTAAAAACCCTGTCCAGCCAAATAGAGAATTTACACCCTGAGCTCGTCTACAAAGGCTCAGGAATGATCACCTCAGACACGGGTAGTGGTAGGAACAGGGAGCCACACTCGTTATCTAGGAGACATCATTTTCACGTCTTGTGAAGCTTGGCACAGAGTAACAATTCATTTTCTACAGAAGAATGTCAGGTACGGCTCTGTAGCTCTAAAGTTTTGCCGTTTCTGAACCTGTGCAAGGTACATCAGGTTTGTATTAAATACTGTCTTTGCCGAAGGATGAGGAAAAGGGCACTCTTTTCCTAAAGGTTTGCCCCTTTCAGACACGGCCAAGTTTAAATATCAAGAAATTCAAATACGCCAAATCATTTGTGCATAAGAGCAATTCAAGAAGGTGCGGGTAGAGATGAAGGTGAACATCTCAGCATGATGAAATCCTGATGTACATTGAAATAAGGTAACCTGTAACAACCATATCATTAACCTAATTGTGGCAGCCGTGCTGTCTCTCCCACAGGACAGAGCCACACGCCCCTAGAGAACACAAACACAAGGTTTGTCAGCACGGAACGCGCACACAAGACATTAAGACCAAAGTTTGATGATTCCAGTTTTAAGAAAAAGAACGTTTACCAAAGCAAAATGCCTCTCCTAAGTACAGAGCGGGGAAAGATCTGCAAAGGCTTCGATACTCCCTACACAGCCCATCATTTATCTGGGTGTGGTTTCCCACAGCGCGGCAGGACGGGTGGTGCAAACATTCCTTGCTCCCAGTCCTGCCTCCCCACCCTCCATCTTGCCCTAGCACCAGCACCCCACAGCTGGATTATCAGCTTACCCAGCTGAAGAGGACAGGGCTTCTCTTTGTCCTAACTCCGTGCCCACATAAGGGCAAGTACTGGCACAAAAAAAGGCAGTAGGGACAAACTTGGAGCAACCTTTAGTCTTGACGTAACTTTATCATGAAACCATATCCTGCGTCCATAAATTACTAAAAATGGAATGCAATAGGAAGTCCGTCCTATCCCAGTGTATCAAAGTAAGATGGGATTCTTATCAGGGAATCAAGTAAAGGGAAAACTGTTCCCTAATTTTGTTAAGTTTCCGATTCTTGAACTGAGCGAAATAGCTCAGACCTATATTGAGTTGAGACAGCACCAGCTTTGCAATAAATAAAGTAATGGACATTGAAGTCAGTTTATTACAAGGAAATGTTAAAAAGATCAGCTTTGGCACCTGCACGACCTCTCCAGGTAACTGCTACCATTGCTCATCTGCTGCTCAGTATTCAGCAGGCACCTTGCTAGTACGACACAGCCAAGGATTAGTGCAGCTCAATGACAGGCAGATGGAATTTCTCTCTCCAATTCTGATTTTTGCTCTGATGGCTGTGCCTCAAGGTCTTGGTGGTGCTGCTCCCGGGCCAGGTGAGAGCAAGCCCAGCTGAAAGGCTCTGGCTCTATAACTCGATGGGACCTGCTGATTTCTGCCCCACCAGGGACTCTACTGATAAAAGGGATTTATAAAGCCTTGCAAATCTAGGACCCTGATCAATGCCATGGCATTCAGTTCATCCAACATTCGTTTAAAAGACATTTTAGAAGCCTCTGTCTTGAACATATTTCAATGCTGAATTAGTGAGAATTAATTGAAACAGTTGTCTATAAAGCAGTACAGGTATTCTCCCAGAACGATCAGCGAAACATTTAATCTGACTACAACAAAACTCACAGAAACTGAAGCCAGTGAAGCTGTCAAATGTAGAAGGAAAACAAAGTTGCATGGCATACGAAGCAAAGTAGCTTTACAAATGTCATTTCCTTTTAAAAACAAGCAAATTGGGACCATCCTATTTGAACATGTATTTAAAAATACATCTTTTAACATCACACAATTTTCATTTCCATCACACAGGAATCTTTTTCCAAGAGGGAAATAAATAGCACACAATACTTCAAAATAAAAATTGCTGCCTTGCCCCTGAGGTGCTAATGTTTTTAGCATTTAAAAAAAAGTTTCTGGTGCAAGAAGGAGATGCACAAAGGTGCAAAAGTGCCTTTTTTTTTTTTTTCTTTTCAGAGCAGTGAAAAGTACAGCTTGCCTCTTCTCTAGGATGCTTTATATACTCAACTCGTGTATTCTGTAATCAAAATCTGTATCTAAAATGGCAGTGTTTATGCATACATAATAATTCAGTGCTCTGACCTCACCAAAAAGCTGAACGTAGGCGGGAGAGAGAAAGGCCTGAAACGGGCTTTCTTCCACTACCCTCAAACCTACTCACATCGCCTGTAGCAACAGCAGAATTATCTCCTCTCTAACCTTTAGGAGACCTCGCCAGAAGAGGCTTCAAATATCTCCTTTGTCACTGAGACAGTTTAAGTGATTATGGTTTGAAGTAAGTATGGCTTTTCACACCACAGTTTTGCTTCCGATTCGTACGAGTTTAAAACTCAAAGGTTCCACAGTCCAGTTCAAGGTTTTGCAGTTTCCAAAACTAAACTTTAGTCTCTATGAAAAAGGACAGAACTTTCTCTGCCTAGTCCTAAATTAAGTTTAGCTTTTCGCACTAATACGCCATGTATTATTAAATATGCTTGTTAATTAGGTGCCTGTGAAGCTATAACTTAACATTATTATAGTTGTGCACTCTACAACAAAATTAGACATTTTAAGCATTTATTCATAGGTAGGTAAGGAACTGGTTCTTTAAGCAAAAATTGCTATAAATTTATAAATACAAATAGTGCTTATGTTTTCTTCATTCATGCTTGAACAGATTACAAACTGAATACAATGAAGTTACGTTTAAGCACCCCACAAAGACAAGAGGGATAAAAGAAAAGTTTGCTGGTATATACTATACTTAGTTCCAAGACACTATAAGTTACTTTTTTCACTGTTCAGTGTTCCCTAACTCTGCATTAGTTTTAAGGCTATATATACAAATATGTATATGTCAAAGTTAGGGAAAGACAAATATAGCAAAATGCATTGTACTACGTTTTCCTATCAAAAAGTAATTATACACCAAGTTTTGATTCTGTCTAACTGCAGTAAATGTTACAATCTACTTGTTTTACTGATTTTCCTTTTGGGGAATCTGCCTACTAAATGAGTAAACTACATATTAAATACAATATTCTCAACCAAAAAGACAATACAAGGTGCACAAAACAGCAGTTTTGCAAACACGACTGACTTGAAAACTTAATTTTCGTATGCTCAATGGGAGAAAGCTAAGCTTAAATCAAATTAGTTTATTATCTTATAAAATTTTAAATTAGAATTTTAAACAACGAACAGTTAAATATTGTCAACATGCTATACCTCAAATCACAAGTACTGTTTAACCACTAGTCTCTCATTCTAAGTAAGTGGGTCAATTAAAAACACACACCATAAAATGTTAAAGATTGTCAGGCTTTGACAAATGTATTTTTATCAAACAGTAGGCAAATTCAAACCAATGCACATCTTCAGTAGGGACGAGAAAAAAAAAAACCAACAAAAAACACCACCAAAAAGCCTGAAAAAACCCACACTTGTAAAAAATAGGGTAACGGATTAATCCCACATCATCCTCTAGCATATGGCTATGTCTTGGGCAATAATCAAAATCCTTCCCATTTTAAAAATGGGCTACCAATTAATAAAAATATTCTTCCACAAGTAAAATATCATTTACAATGGCACTGACATTTTCAAAGGCAGGAAAAAAGGAATTACACATTTATGGGTAAAGGTCTTGTTTGTTAAATCAAGCTTTATTGATAAAATGGAATTCAGAGTATTTTACTTGGAACAGCAGCAGACCCAGTCAATCAGGATTGTAAAAATGCTGCAGACTCCTACTGGACGTAGAAAGCTGCCTGTTCGTGCTCAGTGATCAGCAGTTTCAGGTGAGGGTTAATGGAAAAAGAGGTGCCAAGAATCAAGGCATTCTGATCCCAAGATTTGTATGAAGAGGATACTGTTAACAGGGCATGATTTAACTCCCACTGAACTCAAAATCGCAAATCCCTTTGACTCCAACGTGAGAGCAGGAGTGCATCCAAGAAAATGATATCCATTTGTTGAAGAATGTGCACTACTCTTAAGTTATTTTTCCATTGCCAAGCAAAATTCACACACTGTAATTTCTGGTAAGTTGCCCACGAGTTCAGCTTTCATATAAACCAAAAAGTTATCTTTACAGTTTTGTGCACCTCCTGAGCACCTAGCTGGCTAGGCTGCTGCTCCTTGCAATCCAAAACCACAACATGAATTTAAAAGGGATATATATTGTTGCATCACACAAGCCAAAACATTTCTTCTAACCTTTATAGTGATTTAAAGCGGTTCATAATTAAATATGAGCATTTTGTACAAAGACAATTGCACTTTACAAAAACAAAATCATACAACATAAAATTGCTGGAGTCTGATTTACAACATGAATTATGGTTTGAAATCACGTTTACAGAAGTCTGTTTTACAAAAATGATCAGTTCCTGGGCTAGGTGTCGTACTGCTGTAGTCACTCTCACCAACACATCATATTCCCTTCTTTAATTAAGGTTGAGGATGGATGTTAAGAAGGGTCACTGAGGTTGGGCTGCACTTTCATTTGCAGGATGAAACGTGAACTCCACAGCTAGATGAGCAGTTTTACCACATATCATCAGTTGAGGCAGAATCCTTAAAGAAAAAAGAAGGAACCCTTTAAAGTCTGGAGTGCCCATTGTTGCAGGAGTTTCTGGATAATCCAGACTGAAAAGGGTGGAGACTTAAATCATTTCATGAGTCTTGTTTTCTCTCCCCTTTCAGAAAGAGCATTTAAGAAGTATTTAAAAACCATATATTCTTAATAAATGAAACATTAGAACCAAGACATTTAAAAATCTGACCAAGTGTTTTATCAAGCCTCAAAATAATATCGCAGGAACATTACTAAGAAGCATTTTCAGAGCAGTCAGAAGTAATACAAAATGGATACACTCAGTAAACAGGTGTGATAAAAGAGCAGGATGTGCCTCATTTCATGTGTTACCACCATTGTCATCATTTGTGTTCTCAGCCCTCCCTCACTGCAGAGGAACACAGAGACTTAAGTGATGCCCTGCTAGAACTCAGAGCTATTTCAGCACTTAGAATTTAAGGTTACAGATGTGTAGTTTGGACAACTGCAGAAACCCTAATTTTGCAGAAAACCCTAATTTTGGATAGTAATAAAACCACAAGAGGAAAAAATAAATGTATATAACAAAAAAAAAAAAAAAGGAAGTAGAAACATGTCATGCTCCAAATCATAACCATATGGCCACCTGAGTGTCATCAGAGAATCACAGAATGTTAAGGGGTTGGAATGGACCTTAAAGATCACCTAGTCCCAACCCACCCTGCCACAGACAGGGACACCTCCCACTAGACCAGACTGTTCAAGGCCTTATCCAACCTGGCTTTGAACACTGCCAGGGCTGGGGCACCCACCACCTCCCTGGGCAACCTGTTCCAGTGTCTCTAACATTTGGTCCATTTAGTCCCACGGGCAAGAGTGGATTTTGTGTAACTACCACAGTCCTGGAAAATGTTTAACCAATCCCTGGTTTAACCAATGTTTAATTTTACTAGGTGGTTTTTAATCCAGTTGCCTTTGTGGCACGTCTTGTTTCCTTTTCCCTTGCTCAGAGTGCTCTATATTCAGCTTTCTCTCCCTGCCCCCTCGGGGGTTACACAGGTTAACCACAGCTAACTGGGACCACAGCTAAATCAACAGCTAAATCAGCAGCACAGGCATCAAACTGCTTCTGTGCAGCCACCTTTGGTTGGGTTGTTTCAGCATTACCTGCTCCCCTTTCCTTAAGCAATTAAGGGCCACCATGGGCTTTAACAACAGTGTATCCTGGTGCTTCCACAGCTACACTTCCCCCTCATTACTAAGACTGCAGGAGGTAGAAATATTACTCGTCTTTAAAGCACTGCCTTACTGCTCCTTGGAGAGAAAAGAGGCTAATTAAGTCTCTAGCAATGCCACACATGATAATTTCTTAGCACTGAAGTTCTGCACCCTTCACTCAAACTCGCACACAGAATCCATTACAAACCATAGAGGGGAACAGTTGGCACGGAGGTGTAGTAAAAACAACACAAACTGAAATTACCCTTTGCAAAAGTACCACCTCCAGTTTTTCCTTCAAGACCAGAAGTAGCAAAGGAGAACAATTATACGAAAGACTAAAATGGTTGTTTCATGTGCCAGGATGAAGAATAAAAGCAGTATGAGTAAAAATGCACGAGCTGCCTGCCAACTATTCCATATGCAAATTTTCGGTATCCAAGTCACGAACATCATCACAACGTTTGTGTACTGTACATTTGTAGGACAGCAACGTTGTACAGAATGTATTTTCAAGGCAAAGCATTCTCTTTCAGCCACTATTTAGGAATTTTTAGGCTAAAAATAGAACAAGGACAGACAAATAAATGAATGCCCAACTCTTTATTGTCTGGATGCATTTCACTTATGTCACATTTAAGCAATTTTTGCTGATGGGTAAAAGGATCAGTTTAACTACTTCATGACACACAGCACTTCTGCTGACAGAACGTTGTTTCTGGTGATCAAGCTGCAATTGGGACCACAGTTCATATTCTAGAGGTTTTCTGTTTGTGGGTTTTCCCCCCCCAGTCCACTTAGTGAATAATATATTCTTAAAGCTGATAATTACACATCTGTTTAACTTTTAAGTAGAGGCATTATCTTCTTGATATTTGGGGGACAACATTGCCCATAAAGAGGGGAAATACCCCCATGACTCTTTCCACCATTTGGCAGCATTTGGAAATCCAGGCAGGACTGAAATAATGACATTCCACAGGACAAATGAGTCAACCACACTGGAGTTTTGAGACTGTGATCAGCAGAAGGCAGCAGAAAACCACCACGGAACACAGTCCCAAGAGCACAGCACTGCTATTCCTTCCGTGGGGAAGAGGTCTTTAACAAAAACTAGCAATGTTTCTTTACAAAGCAGCTAAAATAACTGGGGTGGGGGTAAAGGTAATGTAAGAGAAAGGATACTTACAGCATCATCGTTCCTGTAGGGGTTCAATCACACTCCGTCTAGAGCAAAAAAAAACAAACCCCACAAGATTTTAAGGTTGTGTCTTTCTTTTTCTCTAAAGTCAAATTCCCTAAGTACAGTTTAAATTTAAAATGTAAACCTTAAAAGGTTGTAAATTCACAGAATACTCTTCTACAATGATAGGTCCAATACTCTCCAGCAACTTTTCTCCGAAAAGACATTAAACTGCAAACAGCAGCTTTGTGTATTCTATCTTCAGACTGAGGCAAATTTTGTCTGGCAAAACATATTAAAAATTATTTCAATCATCTTGACAGTTTCCTCCTTTTAAAAGAAAACATGCTTAGCCTATTTAAGATAGCTTGAAATTAACCTTCGTCTCTGGGATTCTTGGCTTTTCTAATACTGATAGAAAATTGGTAAGAAATGGATGGATAAATATTAATAGAAAATTTGCAATCCGCATGTAAGTGAGCAACATGATTTTTATCTATGTAACACAGGGTGAAAAAGTTTTCTTGAAAATTGGTAGTAAATTAAAAAAAAAAAAAAAAGAATCCAATGTGAAGCTGAAGGAAGAGGAAGCCTTTGCCTTTCCCAGTATATAAGTAAACAACTTTGGAGGGAGACCAGGAAGGAAAGAGGGGAGTAAAAAACAGGAATTATAGGCTGGACTTTAAAAGCAACTTTCTTCCAGATCCCCTTCTGCAAAATCAAGTGTGACGAAGTAGAAGGAGACTGAAACTGTGATACAAAACAAACTTCAAAGAACCACCTTTAAAGTGCTGATGAATGCATGCAGAGCAATCACAAAGGAGTACATGAGAAGAAAAAAAAGCAGATGACAGGCTTTGGAATCATCCCATAATACTGAAAAGTCAGGAACTACCATGAATAAACATCACAGTGAATGCAGTGAATGATTATAGGAAGAGGAGGCTGGATTTAAAGCAATAAAATGAAGCAATTACAGACAAAGTACGCTGCATGTATGAACTGGAAAGTTTCCCTTATCTCTCAAGAAATAGGTATCTTTGATTCTAAATAAAGGCAGATTTCTTGAAAAGCATTATATTCCTTCCAAATTGGCAACAGTGCTTTAAGTTACACTAACATCCAATTAAATTCACATTTTTATCAGTCCCTATTCAAACCAGCATCACTAAGACACAAAATCCCACAGAAGTCTGTCACTTCAGCATTTCTTCACAACCACGATGCTACCACTAACCAAAGGAGATGAAGAAAAACCAATTTGTATGCTGTATTTCATGAGTAACTGACTGATACTTCAAGACTACAGCAAAATGTCCCAAATAGATGCTGTTTTACATAAAATTGCCATCTCTTCCAAGTCAAACAGTTCGTAGAAGAACAATTTTGTTTTGTAGAAGCCATCTTTACAGTTTTTTTATAATTATTCAATTTATTCATTTGTCATTTATTCAATTGCATGCCTAAAGTCTTCACGTTTTGGTGTAACAATACAAAAATCACACTCTGAAAGGTCAAAAATACTCTGTACCAAATGTGCCCAATTCATTTTAACCCAGCACAGGCTCATGAACAATCTTTTGAACCAAAAAGCACTTGGTTGGGGGTGCAAACGAGCTAAGGACATTGCTTCCTTAAAGACTGAACATTTGAGAAGCCACAGAGCATCATCACTGAACCCTTCAAAGACAAAGCTGTAAATTTAACTTCCCACTTTTTTTTTTATAGACTTCTATCTTGTTTTCAGATTTGTCACAAGCAGAGAGAAAACAAAAGCAAATTTTTAAGTGATTACAACATGGCTTTAGCTACAGACAAGGAAAGAAAGCTGCCAAACAAAACATCTTATGCATATCACTTCTTGTCAAAGTGCAGAAATACATATCCAAGTAATCACTAAATTCAGTGCATTATTTTTGCACGTTCAGATGTAACCTCCCCCCCAGAAACCCCAGTTAATTAAAAAAAAAAACACCACTCAGGCCACCCTTAAAAAACCCTCGTTGCTTCCCAAAACTACAGTTTGACATTTAATTTTCGCAGTGATTCATAGTTAACTCCGTTCTTATGCCTGTTCTTTTCACTCAGAACAACTGAGTAATAAAAATTAGAGAACAGATCATCACCTTTTGTCCTGTACCCTTCTTCCCTCCCTTCCCCCCTTCTCCCCCCCCCCACTTTTAAGAGTGGCCTTGCAGTTAAGTTGGGATTTAAATCAAAAACCACATGTACACTGATGTGAACTCACTTGCTTGCCAACTCCCCCCCGGGCGGGAGGTTTGGGATGCTCTCAGTTGCTAACGTACGCATCACGTGGACTAAGTCTGGCACTCCTTCACCCTGCTTCTTTATGATCTCTGGGAATCAGAAGTACTTTTTTTGTAAGTGCAGTCCAAATTTAACTTTAAAAGATTGAAACACTCAGTTTTATAAAAAGGCAGCTTAACATTTAAAAAAAAAAAAAAAAAGACAGATCGTACTCAACACGGTAATTGTTACTTTTGGTTCCGAAAGGAAAAGAGCCTGTAACAGATTTGACAATGATACACTGCTGTTAACATGCACACTGGTTTTGGAAATACACAGCTACCTAGTAACAGTGGGGAAAAAAAATTCTTTAATGGCTTTCCTGCTATACACTAGATAGAAGACGTAATATCTCCCCAACGAAATGCCCAGGGCATGAGGCAGATATTAACATCAGCTTTATGGCTGCAACAGAAGATAAAATATTATTGCCATCACAGAAAGCATAATATTTTCAAGAAACAAAACGTCAGACATATTAAAAATAACCCCTGTGGCTGTATGTGTATCAGCCAATACTTGTATCTCACTGCATCACAGCAATATGCAAATTTTAAGAATTATTACATACAAATTAATAGCCAGGGACACCACATCCAATTGACAGTTCCATCCTCGACTCAGGGGATATTTAAATATTGAGCAGATACTTAAAAGCTGATCCACTCCAGCTTCTGGGTGAAGAGAATCTGTATTATAGCCACAGTCTCGCTTGCCAAGAAATTAATTCTTTAACTTTATTCTTAGGCCTGGTTGGATTTTTTTTTTTTTTTTTTGGGTTTTTTTTTTTTTTTTTTTTTCCTCAAGCCATAAGCACACAATTTTATTTGAATTGAAGAGATTTCAGACCACACCACCCCTGAAGAGCCGCTCTTTAAACAGGGATTTTAGGAAACTTAAAGAACAAGCAAGAAATGCATCTCCTCGGTTTCTCCGTAAACAGGAGCTCTCAGAAATTGTAAAATACGTGAACTATTAAGACCTGGTGCTGTTGATCTTCAAGTGAATATTGCAACATGCATACAATAATTTGTACATATGTGCACATCTATACATGCACATATGTACAGGCACACTATTTTTCACGTAATAGAGCATTTACACAGTTTGAAAGCAGTTGGAATTCATCAGTACCGTTTCTGAAAAATAGTCTAGCATTCAGTTTTTGCCCTAAATAATTCCAGAAGAACATACCAAGTTTCCATTTTATAATCTGTGAGATAAAGCACACTGAAATCCTTTAAAACCAACATGTATCCAGTCCCTTTTAGTTAAAAAAAAAAAATTAAAACCAACAGTTGTGAATTACTTTTTGTTCGTGTTATAGTTTTTCAGGGTTGTGTGTGTTTATAAAAAGCATCAGCTCTATTTTGCAGTCAGGCTGTGTAAATTATTTGCAAGGTATAGTGGAAACACTGTCTAGTCCTCAACCAGCATCAGACTCTGCAGCAGAAAGCTTAAAGCTGTTTACTTCAAAACCTACATTTCAAATACATGACACCGCACACCAGAGACCCCTCAAAAATTTGCCATTTCCTCAAAATCTACAGCCAAAATTCGTTTTACCATCTAATGTTTAGTAAACAAATAATCTAAGACTCTTAAATCTGAATAAGAAGCCAAGATCTCAGATTTGGTTTGCCAAGTTCCTTTATTGTGCAATTTTGAACATCTAGTATATGCTACATTGTGCTAGTGCTAAAGTTCTGCTGTACAAAAATAAGGAATTTATAGTTGACCTATGCTACACAGTTTCACAACCTGTAACTGCAGTACATTTAACATACAGTCTCCACTAAATGAATACATTTATACTTTGATAAAACTATAGATACAGACTGAATGAACACTGAAGACACAACAAATGGAGTCGGTCTGCTAGCTGTGTTTAATTTATTGGAATTCTCTTGTTTCAATACACCTTCGACCCTCCCCCCAATCTTTAATTTACTTTTAAACCTTCTACACATTTTCACGGCATCAAGTACTGGAAAAAATGTACTTAAAACCCTAAAATAAAGGATTAAAAAATGGGAATTCCACACAAAGTTTAAGAAAAAGCCAGAGCTTTGTTTTTGTGAAAATAAGGGAAGGAACATGTAACAGCTAGCTTAAAATTATTTATCTCTATATAGGTATAAATATTGTAAGGATTATTTATTACGGAATGGTTTTATGTAAAAAAAAATAATGAGAACAGAAAAAAAAGCTTAGACAAGTTTCTTTTTAGAGTCAACACATCAATAACACATATTAGTGCAAATAATAGCAACACATTTTGGAATGACTGGTTACTTCTACCATGAAGTTCACATGATATTTTAGGGGTAACATTGATTTATTGCAAGTAATGGCACAAGGATGCTTCTCCACACTTGCTGCTTCTTCCATTATTTATTGTAGCTATGAATCTGGACCACAAACACATCAGAAGTAGCTGAAGGAGAGTGCTAAGTGACATGGTGAGTAGAAAACTTCCTATGTTTTCTAAATCTGAGTCGTCTCTCCTTATTCAAGATGACCATCAGTACTAAGTCCTATTCAGTCTTAAAATTTGCACTACTTTTTAACAGTATAAGGATATATGCTGGGCTGAGGGAATAGAAATACAACCAGAAAAAAGATGCACACTAGTAAGCATCGACTCCCATTCCTTGTTGGACTTCACTGAGTACTGAAGTGCATAAAAATACATAATATGCATTTTGACCAACTTTCCATTTTAATTCATTTTAACTTTAAATTGATGTAACAGATTAGTAAGATCATTCTAAAAGTACTCCTTATATGTTCTAGTTGCTTCAGCCAAAAATTAGGCTTTTAAAGTTAAGCACTGCTACTCTTATAGTATCCTAAGATAAGAGCAAGATTATTCACTGTAGTGTATAAAGTTTCAGATGCTGTAGCAGTCCTACCTTACTACTCAATAAGGCATTATCCATTTACTTTGGAAACAACTCAACTGCACAGGAATTAAGTTAAATGTAACCAAATTAATCAATTCCTGTTCTTGAAGTTCTGCTTTAGTTCAGCCTTTCAACTTCTCTCATGGGTAAGTAAAAGGCCAAACTCTGCACACAGCTAATACAAATTGCTGCTGGGGCGAGTAGTGTTTACTACATATTTATTAATTTAAATAATATCTTTGTGCAACTATAGGCAAAAGATTGAGAAGAACTCTCAAAAAGAAGCAAAATCCTTGAGGGCAAGTACAATATATTTCCTCAAGGTGTTCAGACATCATTACATTAAATTAGTATTAAAGTGCTTTATAACTACATCCAGAATCCTTCTGCCTCTATGCAATTATCACACTTTGCTCATTCCTGAAATTTTCTATTTGTATAACTGCAAAGTACCAGCAGCCAAACTCATTGTATGTACCATAACCACATGCAGGTCCAGTGTTTAGGCTCTTCCCTTGTAAAATGAAGCAGCTGTACAAAAATGCCAGCTTTCCTCATTGTGATACTCCTGGGGTACAATGAAGATGCAGCCTTGACTTGAACATATTTCCATATTCTAGGTCATGGGTTTGTCTGAACTCAGACAAAATATCTAAGATAAGAAGGCAACACTTGCCCAAATTAGGACTGTTACCATGCTGTAAATTAACGTGTGAACGTACAGCACACTTGTTCTCCACCAAATCTGTGGGTGGGCACACACACAGCAAGCTCTCCAAGTGCCTGGTGCAAACCTGCTCCCTGCTTTGCAAGGCACGAAGCCATCTGACACTTCCCTCCCGCAGCGTGACCGTGCACTCGTATTCCTGCTACGCTGCCAGGGAGATTCACACCATCCCTCTCTGGGCACCAACTTCTCCTCTCAGGCAAGTGTTAAGATTAAAGCACAGAAATGTCTGCCTGGACATTTGTTCAGGGGCAGAGCAGATGCGGTTTGCCAAGACCTTGTGAATGAGGCCTTTGAAAAACGTGGTACTTTCTGAAGGAGCACCTACACAGGTTGTAAGTGCTTTAAAATTGCACATTAATTTGTCTGAACCCACAATTCCCATGTAGGCAAGCTCTCTGTGAGATTTCTGAAGCTGCACTGTGTTGTCTTCACACAAGTTAAGGAGGGAAAAAGTGCATAATATACTCCTCTAACTTACTAATCACTGCTACCATAGTTGTGAAGAAGTCTGCCTATTGTGCCCGGTGTGCTATTAAGGATTCTTGGGAGTACACACACAAAACTAGACTTGTAACATATAGGTCTAGAGGAGTCCACTTCAAAAATAGACTTAACCTATGCAAATAATGCATACAGCATGTCTTATGTTTCAGAAACAAACTCCAAGCTGTGGTTGGTTTTAAATACCAAAAGGCACTATAAATGCAGTTTGAACCAGAAATTCTTTAAATCGAATTGATTTCAAGTATCATTTTTATGTGATCCAAAAAGCCCAAGGCTTGCAGTTTCAGTTTATAGAACTCCAGAAATACAAATTAAAGGAAAAATTTTGAAGTTACTATCAGAGTAAGATGAGTTCCCAGCTTGTTTGTCATGAATGCTTAAAGATCAGCTTTCAAATAAGTAAATATATTAGCTTAAAGATTACAGTAATCAAGTTGTAATGCTACTATAACTGGTAATAAAATATTACAGCTAACTGATTTGTATTTAATTATACGGAAAAATGGCACTCAAATTACCATCTTCATAGACACTTTGCAAGATATTTTGATTATTTCATTTAACTCCATGTAACAGGAATCAGGATTCACTGGTCTGAAGTTAGTGCTGTCAACAGACTCAGGAAGAATTCTGGGCACGAATGCATTCTCTGCCATCCTGAATAGTTTTCTGGGTTATAGGCTGCTGCACTTTCATAGCAGAGCTTTTTCAGGACATATATGAGTGCCTTTTTCAGAGGTACACAGGATGGCCAATGGCACTTGAAGGTCTATTAAGAAGCCTGTATGTGTTAAGGGTTTAGCTGTTGGAAGGGGAAGGGGGCCAGGGATCTGTTTAGAAACAAAGTTACTTATTTTTTTTTAAATGATCCACCTTCTACTCTGCTTTCCAGGTACTTGTCCAACTCTGCCTCTCTTTTCACCGCCTCTGGCGATACCTTTGGTGCATTCGGAAAACAGATCAATATCACACTCATGTTGTCTCGACTTCCCTGGTGGAAAAGAAAAAACCATTTGAGAAATGTATACACACACACCAGGCTAAATACACATCAAAGCATTTTACACACAGAAACTCACAAATCATAAGGTATTAGAATCCAACAGTATTAGAATCCAACATTTACTACTGTGGATGAATATTATCCTTTGCATTAATTTCCCCTTACAGAATTCCATGCCCGTTCATCCGGTACAACTGTTAAGTCACCTTGTTCTTTCCTCTTTTGTGGTCTGAAGACTACATGGAGCCAGTTACAGACAGCCCACGGTCTAAAAACTGACATTAGTCATGAGTGATGTGTAATCACAAAGTTGTGTTCCATCTTGTTTCAAATACTATCCAATTGTTTGGGGAAAACAGCTGAACATTAGATGGGTGAACAGAACCATTACTGCTTAAAAGCAGTAGGCGGGAAAGCGCTGAACTCAGACAGTGCTTCCACCTAAAATCACAGCTATGAGGTTCCCCCCCAACCCTTTTCTTTTAAAACAAGGAAAGTTACAAGTGAGAGAATTTGTTTGAAGACCAGCTGGGAGGTGCCCAGGCCTCTACAAAAACATTCTTTGAAATGGAAACATTTAAAACCCAACTAAACAGAACCCGAATACTTGAACATGTTAAAATACAACCACATTCTGCTTATGCAAAGTAATTGTTCGGTTTACTTTCAGTACCCCTGTGCTCTGGTCTACAAAACATGTATCCATATGCCTAACTTTTAATGATAACTAAACCCACTGATGTCAGCAAGATCAAGAACAAGCCAGTGTTCAGAACAAGAGTATCTGGGTGTATGGGAAGGTGCTGACAGCTGGCTCCTGCAAAGCTTACAGCATCCACAAGCCACTGTTCCTTTCCTGGAATTTGTTTTCAGGACTACCAAACAAAAATTGCAAACAAAAACATAAGCATTATCAATCTGCCAAAGTGTTGGAAAGCAATTACATTCTTCCAAACAGGAAACAATGACCCTGTTAGCCATGTGGCAAAAACAAGAGATGCTGTCTTGTCTCTTTAGAATCAAAAATGTTGGTTTTTTACATTATGACTTCTAGCTCCTTTGGAAATTAAGTATCAAGCTATGAAACTCAGTGCTTGGAACCTCTTCTGTAACTGCATCACCCTGCAACTTATAAATACAAAGTAAAAGTTATTGCTGACAAAATTACACAGATTTGTTAAACCAAAAGGTCCCAGCTTCTACTTGAGCTGCTTTCAGAGCTGTATCACACAACACTGAATAAGAAATACAGTAATTAAACCAAAATAAACACTAACATAGGAAGACAGGTCTTCATAGTTAAGCAGGAATTTTAAACTGCAAAATATGAAGTCAAGGTTCATTCATTCTGCATTTATCTTGGCGTAATTATATCAGTAATATTACTACTATATGTCCAAGAAAGGAGGGGAAGATTAGGAGTGGAAAAAATGATCTCTAGCCTGATTAAGTCTTAAGAGCTACGGTTTTGTAAAGTATGTTATAAAACAGAAAAGGGCAGTTACTGTCTTGCCCATAAATACCCATCAGCTCCTAGTTTTCCATCAATCACAATGTATCTGTACATGATTATAAACTCTAATTGACCAAAACCACCAGAAAGACATATTGTTTCTGTTGTGTGTTCATTCCCCCTCTATCACAATTTCTGTGGGAGACACGGTCATTACTGTCAAAGTCGTGTTAACATAAACCATTGGACACTTATAGACTGGAATCAAAACTTATTCTTAACTTGCTCATAAACTTCTAACAGTCAAATCACAGTAAACTCAGCTTCTCTCAAGTCTGGCTACCTTGTACAAGCAGGTGTCAACTATCTCATTGCAAACTTTCTCAAGGTCATCAGTGACTTCAAGTCTGGATCTTACAAAGTCACACAGCTCTTCATTTCCCATAACATCCCAGATACCGTCGCACGCCAGGATGATGAACTGATCGTCTTCTTCTGATCTCTCGATTTCATAGACTTCAGGCTCGGGTGAGACCAGCTGTTCTGTAGGACCTTTCCCATGGACACATTTGTAATCAAAGTCCCCAAGTGCCCTTGAAACAGCAAGGGAGCCATTCACACGCTGAATCATTACGGAGCCACCTGCATTCTGTATGCGCTCCTTCTCCAGCGGATTGCTCGGTTTGTGATCCTGTGTGAAGAAGTGAACCTTCCTGTTTCGACAAAGCAACCCTCTCGAGTCTCCACAGTTGATGAAGTATGTGTGTTGGGGGGAAATCATGACACCCACAGCTGTTGACCCACTTCTGTCTGCGCCATGTTTCTTCTCCGAGATGACTCTCATGTGTTCATCAATTTGCAGAAAACCTGTTCTGATGCCGCTCTTTACACTTTCCACAGATGGTGGCCCATCTGGCCCTTTAAAATCCTGGTTGCTCGTGATGTGATCTAATAAATGCTCACAGCAGTACTTGGCAACCTGTGATCCAGCGTGCCCATCATATACAGCAAAAAACGACCATCCATCAAGTCCGTTTGGCAAACCGATCACAGCCGTGTGTGCGTCCTCCATTTCCACGCGCCAGCCCTGCATGCTGCTCAGGCCGTAACGGAGCCCGTTCCCTTGCCCCTGGGCATTATGCTTCTCCATCTTTGGCTTGTCTAAAAATGCTCCCATGATGACCTTCCTTCAGTTCTGCAAGGAAGGGGGGAAAAAAAAAAAAAAAAAAAAGAAAAGGATTATTAAGATATTTCCTTGTTTGAAAATCCTACCGGAAGCTATTAAATAATGGCACAAATAATGTTAAGATGACAAAACACCAGAGCTATAAAGCTAAGATTTTTCTGTGTCTCGAGTCAAATCTGCATTGCTTTCATCTAATTTAAACAAAGGCACTACTACTAGCTGAAATGCACTTTTCCTATTTTTGCATTTTCAGCTGCTTTACTTGAAAAATTTATATTCCACTATCATTCATGGTTCTGACAAAAGCCTCTAATATAAGTATGTATGAAATCAGTTTCAAAGAGGACTTGTTCACTGGCACACATCTGAATAGCTGTTCCCTGCGATTACTGAGCCATGAAAGAGTTCAATGTTTCCAGAACAGTGGCATTCCCTAGATCCCTACCTGCTGGCCACAAATTCCCGCTCAAACTCTGCTTTCCTCATAGCGATGGGGAAGTGAAAGCAAACTGATTAGCTTTTCTTTTAGGGGGGCAGGTTTAGGGGGTTTTGGTTTGGTTTGGTTGTTTGTTTGTTTTTTAAACAGATAAATGATCTCAGTGACCAAGATGATGCCAGAGTCTGTGTAAAGGAAAAAGCAACACTGGATAATCTAGGAGCAGGGCTGGGAAGGAACAGAGCAGCTGTCCCTTTAGGCAGCAGCAAGCCATTAGTTTGGCTCAGCCATCTTGTGAAAGCTCATCCTTAGATTTTCAGTTAAATTACGCAGCAAGCTTCTCAGATGTCTGTGCTGCAGATTTACTTAAAACCTTAATGTATTCATGCTTCACTGAAAGACAACTGCCCCTAACAAGTCTGAGGAAATCTGTTTGGAAATAAAATCGCACGTATTGTAAATTCATGTGTGAATCAAGATTCAAGCCAGACCAATACACTGCACACCCTCTCCTCCTCCACCTCCTCATTGGGATGTGATGCAGCAAATATTTGTGCTTAAGAGAATAAGAGTTATATTTGCAGGCAGCGTCAACTGACTGGTTTATCTTCATGGCTTTCACACCCTAACCATCCAACCCACCCTTCTAATCCACATCGGGTTATTTGTGCATTCATTATTAAAAAACCATACAAAATAGGTCACACATTTTACATACTTGCAAATTGTGCCCTGGGAAGCATCAAAGACTCTGCAAATCACTGTTATACAATGCAAGGTAATGGAACAGGATTATGAGCTTTTCTACTTGAAGACAGCGGGCAAAAATTAACTGTGAGAAGAGATTCTGAAGCACATTTTACCTGAGGCCCAACTAAGCAGCTGCACTAGCAGAAAAATTAGTACACCAGGGGCTTTAGAAATGTTTAACTTGCATGTGGAATATATTTGACCAGTTTTCTAAGTGACCACATCACTTTTTGATAACATCACTTTCTAATGCAATACAGCACCAGCTATAAGTGACACCATACATCCAACAAAGCTTTTCACATAGCTTTTTTTCCAGCCACTATCAACCTTTCTAAAACATCTGTGTTAGAATAAACAGTCAAGAAATGTTTATATTTGATCTCACCACAACAGTGATTCAAATGTGAGGCACGGGGACTGGTTATACACTCTCTGGCTCACATGCTTTGTTAACAAAAACAAAACACATGCTTCAGCGGTGTGGAGATGGCAGCAGCAGCAATACACCTCTGCTTCCTCTCACCCCAAACCCTGCTCTGAAGTTCTGTCTCTTCTCAAGCAAACAGGAGATACTGATGCCCAAGCAAACTGTAACTAACCAACAAAACAGAGTGTGTACTGAGCGTGTCTTGTGTCCCAGCACATGCAGGAGAGGTTCACATTACTGCAGTTGCTAGGAAAAAAATATGACTTAGACTTTTTTATCTTCACATGCAACTCTACTGAAGTCAGAGTGATCAAAATAATTACAGAATGCTGCTACACATCACATGGGGAATTATTTTGCAGAATAATACTTTTTATTCATTCCATGACAGCAGCAGAGTTTAACACCTCACACTTTTTTACTGTCAAAGAGATCATAAAACAGAATGAAGATATCCAATTATTTCATCTTTAGAGCTCAAAAAGCAGAAACTGCCCTGGCAAACACCACATTTTCGTGAAGTATTTGACATTATTGGTGTGTCTCAAACAAAACAGAAAAGATTAAGAACAGGATACAGTTAAACTGACCACAAGCACTGTCAAAATTTGGACGTCAAAACTGGCAGTGTTCCTTCTGATCTCTCACCTTACTAAGTACACAAGATCCAGAGTTGTGCTTTGTAAGCAGTCTGTCCTATTTAGTAGTTTATCATGTAAACCCCAATAAAAATACACACAGACAGGCCACATGAAGTTTTAACAACTCCTACAGAACTGGCAGAACACTTCCAAAGTTAACAAATCCACTCTCCATTTAAAAACCATGTTGCCTCATCCCTCCCCAGAAGGTAACCTGAAAGCTGAGGCTCTTCTAAATTAAACCTTGCAGGTGAGATGTTGACCCGGGATCCTTCGAGGGTGTGAGTTCCCACCACGGATGCAAATACAAGCAGGCAGAAGTAAAACCACAATGTGGTCATGCAACAACCCCTTTGGAAATTATCCCCAGCCCATGGCATGAAGTGATCACCTGCAGAAACTGCAACAGAGTGCACTTGTCGTCCCTGCAACACTCCAGCCAATCATACTTCCACCAGAACTTCAGTCTAAACCTGCAGGAAAGGAGGCCAAGTTTTCAAAATCCTCACTGTATCCAAAGAGAAAGCACCATTTACTTGTGGATAGAATGAACACGCCAGGCTTTTAGGTTTTTCCTAGAATTTCAATTCTCATTCAGAAAAAATTGAGTCAAATATGACCAATCTCTGAATTCTTAGGAGTTGGAAGCTACCTGCTACTTCTCTCCCCACACCCTTAAGTGTGGTTAAAACCTGAAGAATTTAGAGTGTCTTGGTTAAGAAAAAAAAATAATCTTAGTTTTAAAAGAAGGGACAGACACACACACAAAGACTGATGTAAGAAAGCCGTGCCTCCTTCCTACTAAAAATACTTTTTAGACTTGTTTTTGAGTCCTTATCTATGGAAATATCTTTCACACACCAGTGTCTACCTAAATTACCAGTACAGTTTTTCATTCTTTGATGAGGTGCTTTGTGCCCTACAGTGATTAAGTTGGAATGACACCTTTGGTTAAGCATTTAACTCTGTATGCAAATCTGATTAACCTATAGCAGTGCAAGTGCCCAAGTTACAGCATGACTTTGTTATGTAAAAACACTACAGAGACGTCAGACCCAGAACACACTGCATGCACCATGTGCAATACATAAAGGAACAGATCCTGAACACGGCCTAACTTAGCCACTCTTTTTATTTCTTTAGTCATCTTTCTTAAGAGGAGTCCTCATTTTATGACCTTCATTCTCCAAATAATTATGCTACCCTTTCCCTTCTTAACCCAGCCACACATTTCTACAATCATGTTAGAAAACTGGTCTCGCAGCAGGAGATAGAACCAGTCTTCTACTCTGGAAGCCTCGACTTCTGGGATGCTTGAATAATTCACATGTGCTAAAGGAGAAGACATTCTTCCTGCTCCTATTAATGGCAAAGTAAGAGAAAATGCACTTTAATCATAAAGTTCAGTGGCAAAGATACACCATCCACTTTTATTTTCTTAGAGAAGGACCGTTCTGAACAGTACTATAAGGGTGGTGCCTCATAAAAAGATCAGAGGTGCAACATTTTCTTCAGAAATGGCAACTAACACATCTAGCACAGCAAATGCCACAATAATTAGCCAAGTAAACTTCAATTTTAATCTAACATGATTTTTTGTTTACCATCTTCATATCAGGGACTTGCATTAGTTTTATGTCCTAAAAAAGAAGAGCTTTCTGCAGTCAAAGTTTCTGGATTTTGGCTCTGAAGAACAGAGAGGCTTCTGAGCAAAGCTAGAAGTGAAAATGGACCCCTGTGAACAGAAACAAATATGCAGGAGACGCATCTGTGAGTGCATTTAAACCCTGAGTTCTGAAACCCTGATTTTGTGGAGGTCAAACTGAAGGACAGCATCTACAACAAGTGCACGGAGAACTCAAGCTGCAGTTTGCAGACTGCAGGAAAAGCAAGAATACTGTACAGGGCCTATAAAAATCAACACAAGTAACAAGACCTTGGATAAAGCACAAGAGTGCCAAAATTCAAAGGACTGCAGCATTAGAAACAAAATTGAAATAATGAATGGAGCATGCCAAAGAGTCAGTAGCTAAAACTCCTTGAAAATAGACACAACTGGAGAACAGAGTGGCAAAGAAAAGGAGAGTAATTAGTATACCAGACCATGGACAACCAGGGACAACCACAGATACATCACTGGAATGCATGAAATCTCTTTGCCCCTTCATTTGTTCCTCAAATTGTGCTATCCAGGCAGCACAACTGTAATGCCCATTCTGATACACTGGAAAATAAATTTTACTGTTTTGGTATTTGCTTATTGATTTGCTTGAAGGTTCAAGTGAAGGTAAGTCCTACATTGTTCACAAAGGACAGTTAATGTAACTCCACATACCTCTATAAAAATACAATTTATTTTTCCAAGGAATTTGGACAAGGATTTGATCGTTTTGTCCAAGAAAACTAACCACCCCCATCTGAAACTTGTACTTCAACAATATGTAAATTAATAATCCTCTTAAAACAATGGGCAACTTGTATTCCTTCCACTAGGATAAGCTGCTTATATGAACCACACTGAAGTCACAGGCACTTGTTCTAACTAAGCTGAGAAATACCCCCATACTCCAATTTCCTGGAACAATTCTCTCAGTGACATTACAACCCGTGTGTTGTAATGAGCACCATAAAGAAAGATTACAACCTTTACTTGAACTGCAGGACACAGAGCAAGTCACCAAATTATACAGACTGCTACTGAATAGAAAAAGGGCATTTGTTCAACTTCAACTCCAGCCTGATCCGCAGAATT